GTCCACCAATTAGTTGGGTTGGCAATATATAAACCAACAATGTATGTCTGTAGCTTTAAGACAAAGTTACTGTATTGATTTGTACTATGTTCCGATTGGTTGATTGTATTGTGAATTGCCATAAGAGGGAGCTAGATATCATGGCTTGTTCTCTCTGACATGCTCTATCTCTGACATGCTCTATCTCTGACATTCTGTATCTCTGACATACTGTATCTCTGACATTCTGTTGCTATCTAAAGTTCTCTGCTGTGCTTATACTTTGATATCTTTGTTTACTGTAAATGACAAAGGCAACTGGTAAGAAGACTTTGTAATTGGATATTCTTTGGACTGTAAAATATATATGACCTGGACCGTTTATTGGACTGTGCTATTTCTTAAAGTAAACTTTAACTCAATTTAGTGTATCTGTGTATGGTTGAATAATTATTCATAACTACTTCCATAAACGTTTCCATGTGCATATCCTTGTTACTCAAGGGTTATTCTGTACACATCATAACATCACTGATGAAATAACAAACATTAAACACTGTTAAAATGTATTTGATAATGGTTCAGAGTACCTACAACCTATATTAGATCATCAACAAAGTAAGCATTTTGGACGGGAAAATATAGTAGATTGACATTAGCAGGGAGACTTGTACAGATGGTAATGGAGAAGAAATTAGCTGGATAAGATGCTCCTTTAAAGGAAGCAAAGGAATGTCATATGGGTTTGGCTAGAGTACAAAAAAAAGGTCTAGGACAACTCACTGCAGCCAGGTTGGCATGGATGGGTGGGCGCAGATAAGTGGGTACAGCTGGGCCAGCACAGATGACTCAGGGTAGATGACTGGATGCAGACAGGTGGTGTGGATGGGTGGGTGTTGATGAGTGGGCACGGCCAGGTCAGCACAGAACAAGTTGCCCCGACCAACTGGATGTAGGGAGAACGCAATTCCCCACCAGCTCCTCACTTCCCCGAACTGCTGGCAGACAAGCGAGGAGCTGGGGGGGGGGGGGGGGGGGGGCAGGGCCAGCTCTGTTAGCACAGCCATCTCCTACTCATTTGATCGGCTCCACGAGAGGTTTTTTGGGAGCTGCAATCTCTTGGAGGGGGATCGGAAGGAAAGGACGTTCAGCAGAGAGAGTTTTAGGTGGCAGTCAAAACTTGAAAGCTGAGGAGGTCCAGGAGATCGAGGGAAGGAGAACAGAGAGGCTTAACAGCTGGACAATGGTGAAGAAGCAGAACAACAGTGCGACTGGAACTGGCAAAAAGGAACCTTGACAAGAAACGTGAGTGACTCTGGGGAAAAGAACTTCCGGAAAGTGTTCCCAAAGAATAAAGAAGAGGAAAAACACAGGAAGAAAGAGGAAGGAGGTGCCCTTCCCCCTCTTAGATAGCAGCAAAGGAGATTGTAGGGGAGACTAGGAATCCCAACTAAAATCAATTAAGAATAAAAGAACTGCATATCTAAAAGCGAGACTGTGATAATTCAAGAGAGGCTGGCTGAAGTCTTTTTTTTTCTATCTTTGAAAAGACTTTGTGAAAGACCTTGGTAATAATTCTTATCAAGAGGCTGACAGGCAGGGCTGGCTGACAGTAACAGAGCAGTTTTGGCACAGACTCCATGATAGAAGAAACATGAGAGATATATTTGCTGACTATTTGCTAACTTATCTGCAAAATGCCTGATTGAAAAAAACAACAAAAAACTGAGAATTCAATATTGAATATTACCTACATTGTTGGACTCTTATTGTTTGAAAACTATTTGGAAGAAGAAATCAAGACTCTATAGCAGTGACAACTGAGAAAGAAGAAAAGAAATACAGAAGATAAATAACATTAGAACTTTTGGTATATTGGATATATCTCTGACATATTACTATTATTGTTAAGCTACTAACATATTATTGTTTTTATTATTAATATTACTGTTATTGGTATTACTACTAAAATAGAACAAAAAAGAATAAAAATAGAATTATTGCTTATAGAGCTTATATGAATTGGATGAGATTGTGATACTTTAAAACAAATACTTATATTTAATATATTTAACATATACTAATATCTCTTAAAGAATATAAATCAAATTATATTCTCTTTCTAGTGCTGTTTAGTGCTATCTAGGACTTTTTCTATAGATACTCTTATTGTTATTGGATATTACATATAGTAAGCAATTTATAATAATATAATGAGATAAACAGGTTGACCAGACCAATTAATATAAAGATTGAATAGATAGAATTAGGATAAGGCTGGTGAATCTGCGATAGAACGGATAAGTAAAAAAGGCTAGAGTGGCAGAAGGATATAATAGAGGGAAGAAGAGGTGGTTGTATTGGTTGAAAAAGATATTAAACATGACAAGCGTCACAAATTTATCTAAGATTGGAACAAGAAGAAAACAAATGGCACAGACTTTGTCGAACACATAATTAGCAACCACAAGTTCACCTAGTCAGAGGTTGATAGAAGAACTATTACAAAGAGATAGGTCCAATTCGTTCAAAGACTTACAGGCTATGATGCAGTCAATGCAGGAAGCCATGTCGAGAAACCATGAAGAAATGAAGAGAGAGGTCGGGGAGGTATGAAATGACACTGGCAAGCTTAAAGAAAAGGTACAAATAATAGATGAGAGATTGGAGATGATGGATAGAAGATTGGAATCCTTTCAACAACAAATTATGAAAAATGAACATAAATTACAGGAAATGGAAGAAAGAATGGAAAGAGAAGAAAAAAGAGTGAAAGAAATCAACGAGAAACTGACCAGGGCAAATAAAGAATTAGAGGCAATGGTTACGGTCTTAGAATCCAAAAAAGCGACCCACTATTTATGCTTTCAAAACATAAAAGAAGAAAAATGAGAGGATCTACCAGAAATAATGGAGGAACTATTGGCAAAAGCTTTGGGAATAGGAAAGGACGAAATGCTGATCAAAATGGATGAAGTTTATAGAATACAGACTAATTATGCAAGACCCCACAACCTACCGAAAGAAATTCATGTAAGATTCGTCAAAAAATCAGAGATGAGATCCTCCATAGAACAAGAGATGACAGAGGGAAACAGCTAATAGTATTGAAACAAGTGCCAAAAAGAATCAGGGACCTTTGGAAACCATACCAATTTTTGACATCTAAACTGACTAGCCACAATATTAACTTCAGATGGTCGACCCCAGAGGGAATAATGATTTCTTGGCAGGAAAAGAGGATTAGAATAGATACCCTGGAGAAGGCGGAGGAGTTTTATAAAGACATCTTTAGCAATGAAGAAGAAGTAGAAGAAAGAGAAGCAGAAGGAGAAAGAGAACAAGAATTAAGAATACAGGCCAGGGAAGAGAAAGAATTACAAGTGAGAGAAAGGGAAAATGGAAAAAGAGAAGAAACTGAAAATAAAGAAAGAAAAGAGAACTGAAAGAAGAACCGAGAGAAGCCAGAATAACAAGGGGTATTAAAACTAGATACAAGTAAGAAAATGCAGGAAGAAATACGGATGTTATCCTTGAATATAAATGGATTGAATTCACCTCAAAAAAGGAAAAAAAAAACTTTCAACAAACTTAATAAAATGAATTTGGATATAATAGAGCTCCAAGAAGTACGCATAAAAGAACAGCACAAATACCTATTGAACTACCCCAAACTGAGGAATGTGTTTACATCATTAGTGCAAAATAAAAAAGAGGAGTAGTAATATATATGAAAAAAACAATCTCAGCTAGACAAATTTACAAAGATAACAAAGGCAGGATACTGATTGTAGAAACAATATTAAATAAAAAATGTGTGATGCTAGTAGGAATATACGCCCTGAAAAGAGGGTTAGAACAATTTTACAAGAAACTATATAACATCATTCAAGAGATAGAATGTGACAATATCTGTATTATGGGAGATTTTAATGCAATTACTAACCAAAAACAAGACTACGAAAGTAACAAAGAAAAAAAGGGATTAGAAGAACATTACCTAAAATATTTTTTAAGATGGCAGAGGAATTGGGAATCCAAGATATCTGGAGAGAGAGGAATCAAAAGAGAAATCAGTATACATACTATTCAAGGAGGCATCAGTCATGGTCCAGAATTGAGGTGGAAATAAATACCAATCTATGGGCTGATCATAACCCATTAAAATTATATGGAAGGGGTTCTGGTAGTGATGTCACAGCTGGCGCAGGGAAAGAGAACGGGCTCCATTCTCTGGATCCAATCTCTCGTGCTAGGAGCCCCCCAGGGGGATCGCAGGTCTCAGAGGGACACGCAGCAAAGAGGGGAAGCCCAGGGGGCAGCGTGGTGGAAGGCGACCACCTGTTGCAACGAAGGGACTAAGTGACTAAGCGTTTTTGCAAAATTGAAAAGATCGGGGAGAAAGAGTAGCAGAAGATGAGGAAACTGAAAGTGAAGAAGGCGAGTGAAGGTGCAAGGTCTGGTTGGACTGGACGGGAGTGAATGAAAGGATTGGGACTTTTTGGAGAGGAATAAACCAAAAAAGGCTGATTGAGAGAAAGAAAGAAAGAAGAAACAGTAACAACGCGCTACACTATGGAACGGCTTGGGGCTACAGACATCAGAGAAAGTATTTAAAGTGTTTAAAAGTAATAGAGAACATGAAATTAAGCTGAAAAATAAGATAATCTTAAAACAAAGTGCCTTATGATACGTTTGTATACTGTTTATATATTTAAGAGAGGTTAGAGTGGAGGTGAAGTAAGTATAAAAATATTGGTGATATTAATGACTTATAATTGACTTAAATTGATTTAGAGTATACAAATTAATTTCATACGATTAAAGCGTTAGCAAAAAAAACAACCTTAAGAAGTACATACATGAGTAAGTGTTAATACCCAATATGGAAAAGGAAAAGATCTGTTGTTGTTGTTTTTGAAACAAATTTTATTAATTTTTAGAGACAAACAAAACATAAACCTTGTAGACATTAAACCTCTTTCCCTTGTAAATTTTTACAAGGCAGATAATACATTATTTTATACAGTGTGATTTTAATATATCCCATTTCTACTTAAATATCTTTTAACACTCCCATTTCTTCTCTTTAAATTTAGTCATCCTATTCATATTTCCCTCTGTCTTGTTTGCAATTATTGTCCTCCCACTTTCCTCCAAGGTTTTATTAAATCTCAGATAAACATACACACACAAAACACATAAAGTAAAACTTCTTTTTCAAAAAAGTAGCTTGGCCCCGGATTACCTCTCTTTGTATGGACTTCAATTAAATTCATATTCATCTTATATGCCATTACCTATCTTAATTACCATTCTGTGTCTTCTTTATAACTTCTCCCCGCTTTCCACTCTTCTTAATTCTATTTTGTTTATTATCTTAATTTAAATCATTATATTTCTATCCTTTGTCCATTCTTTTCCAATTGTCTATTTATCTCATTCCCCATAATAAAATAAAAGAATTTCTCCTGAAATCACAAATCAAAGTATGATGCCTTTCCATCGCACCTCTAAATTAACATTTAAGGTAACACCAAGTTCCCTATCTGATTCTGCTTAGTACATACTACTTACAAAAAGAAAATCCATAACATAATTAATATATAATTAAACATTAAATCTCATAACATTCCAATTATCTATTTCAAAAACAAATATTACAATAATATATTCATACTAACATCCACACAATAGTCAATTAAAATCTATATTTAAACTAAGTATTTTAAACCTTCCTTTTAATATTTTATTAAATCTTAAATTCTACCATTATTAAACCTTTAATATTTTAGTCTTTACTCAAGTCTTATAAAATTATAATTTTCTATTTCTAATACAAATACTACAATACTATCTTATGTACCTTGCAGAATCCTTTTAAAATAAAGTTATATTACCCTTTGTCCCTGAAAAACAATTTCTTTTTCGCATCTTGTTTCATACCCTTGTGGCCTTTTTCCCCCTTCTTCCTCCCTGTCTTATCCCATCTGGTCTTTTTACCCCCCTTAACTTCCCCTCTCTGTTGTATTTCTCTTTCCTTTTGCTTTCTAGCCTTGTATTGATTTTGCATCTTATTTTTCACTTTCTTAGATATTTTTTTAAGTCTTATATCCTTTTTTCCCCCTCTCTTTCTCCTTCTTTTCTTAATCAACTCTGTGGGTTCGTTAAAGATGGCTTCTTCTTCTTCTTCTTCTTCTTCCATCAGTTGTTGTATTTGCTGATAAGTAGCAAGCGCCATTTCTAAAAAGCAAAAAATTTCTCCCACATCGTCTTTCTTTATTTTGCCATATTCCTCTCTCAGTTCATCAGCAGATAAAGTCATTGTAAATCCTCTTTTTTTTTTCCCTTCTTCTTCTTAAAACAGCCAAAGATATTTCCAAGCTTAAAACAATTCCCAAAGTTCCAAAGTCATCAAACAATCCAAACAAAGCACAAAGTTCTTTCCTTCTTCCTGGGTTAATATCAGTTGCAAAGGGAGAAAAAAAAGCCAATCTGTATTTTAAATTCTTATTACAGTAACTTCCAATCTCCAAAATCTTCCAGGCATCTCCTTCAACAAAATCTTAATATAAATTTTCCTTTTGTCCTCTCCCTTCCCATTTATAACAAGAAGCTTTAAATTTTTACCTTTTGTAAAATAGTAGGATTTTCAGTATTCATTTGTTAATTCCATGTGGAAGGAGAGTAAACTTTCACTTTAAACACTTTCACTCGCCGCTTGAAAATCTCTTCTGGAAACAAAGTATCTTTCAAAAAAACCCCAAATCTTAGATTTCAGGGTATTAAATGTATCTTCTAGTCCCAGTTCAGCCAAAAAAACTTTCGCTTCAAAACTTTCTCCTTCTTCCTCCAGCACGATCTTGTCCGGCTGCTGGCTTCTTTGTGGCGGCCATTGCTGACCGCCGCTGGACCGACTTGAGAAAAGGAGGTTGTACCGGGTGGGGAAGGGGTCTGCGAACACCCCAACCCCCTGTCCGGATCCTCCCTGTCTTCGGTTGCCTCTACGGGGCAACCTTATCCTCCAGACCCGTCTGGGTCGGAGGAACCAAGAACGGCTAGCGCGGCGGGGATCGCAGAGATCGCGAAACCCCGCCGCCTCCGAAGCCTAGCGAAACCGGAAGTCGAAAAGATCTGGTTTTTTTGTAATCCTACAGCTAGAAATTTTTGCTCAGTACTTTTGGTTATTGCTGATTGTAAGTAAGCTAAATAAAGTAAATAGAATATTTAATACTGTTATTATATGAAATATATAAAGATATAGCAATTACTAAGCAATATCGTAAATAATTAGTAAGTGGCGATATTATCTAGTAGTAAGTTAAGTGGATACAAGGTTGTGAGATTGACCCTTTGAGTACCTTTTGATTACATTAATCTAAAAAAAAAAGCTAATAAAGAGGTGGAGAGGCTGGAAAGGGATTTAAATAATATTGTTAGAAAGTAAAATAATTCAATCAAATATACAGTGAAGGATAGAGTGGAAGAACTTGTACAAGAAATTAAGAATGACTACCACAACAACAACTACTCTAAGAACAGGAAAGAAGACACCATTGAATCCCACCTTGACAACAGCATCACCTTCTGGACAGAGGTCTATAGATACCATGCTGAGTACAGAAAAACCAGGAAATACATCCAACATGCAGATGATGCAATCAACTTTACTGGCAATACAGGAAACTATGACTAAAATGCGGGAATCTATAACTCAAATCCATGTAGATATGAAAGGTGACATACATAAACTAGACAGCAAAATAGGTGAAATACAACAAACAATTGAGAGAAATGAACAAAAAGTAAAGGTGGTTGAAAGTAGAACAGAACAGAGAAGAAATTGGAAGTGGTAGATCGGAAATTAATAACAATAAATAAAGATCAGGAAGATTCCATTATAAATTTAGAAATGGAGCGAGTGGCCTTCTATCTGCGATTCCAAAACGTCACTGAAAACAAAGAAGAGGACCTGAGGAAGACTGTGGCTGAAATGATGGCAGAAACTGTGCAAAGGGACCCCCGAGAACTCCAAAATGAAATCGATGAAATCTATAGGGTCCACACAAACTACGCCAGGACACATAAGCTTC